TTTTTAACTTCAAACAAAGCAACTGTAAGTGTGATTTGCTACCGAACTTTGTGTTCGCCGAAACACTGGGGTTTGAAGTACCGCTACACCAGTGTGTTATTCGTTCTATCCTGGGAGGAAATAATCCATTACCTTGGGTACTAGGAGGGGATTAAATTCCTTAAGGAAACACTGTGAATTCAGTGGGCTCGAATTTATTATTATTGTTTCATTACGTTAACTTATATTTTGCAGAATTAATATTTACAAATACAGCAATATTGATCGGGAATAACAAAATGTGCAAGTTTAGATATTACCCAAGAGAAACTATAATTGATTGAAGATACATCCAACACCTTAAGCAGCTTGAACTGTGAAACAAATTGAGGCATTAGATAAACTTGAAAAGAATAGCCCGTAAAAACCAAGCTGCTGGTTGTACTCGTAAGACCACTCCAATGCCTTGGAACATATAAATGATTCCAATGATTGCCAAGTGAAAGCATCGCTCGCCGTTGATACTTTATGCTTTCTGAGGAAATGTGGTCACTATCACTCAGGACATGCACAAAATTCTCAATTTGAGCTTCTCTTATGCAGAGCTGCCGAAGAAGATCATGAATTTTGCAAGTTTTCATCTTTCCATTAGCCCTTCGTGTACCAGCCAAAATTAGACTTCTGTCAATTAGCTCTTCTAGATACTCCTCTGCCACCATTTCTAACTTTTTATTGCTTCTTGCTCTTACAAATAGCTCAGCAATCCATAGTTTAATCAACTTTGAAACACCAATCTCCATATCTTCAGGAAAACCTCCAACATAGAGAAAACAAGCCTTCAAATATTGGGGCAAGTAACTGTAGCTCAATGAAAGAATTGATTGACACCGTTCAGATACCGTACCAAAGAATGAGTTCAAATTTTCCTCAACTTTCTTCCAATTGTCACGGGTCGGATCTATCTTTCCAAGAAGTCCAGCAACGACAACAATCGAGAGAGGTAATCCTCGGCATTGCTGTATGATATGCTTCCCAATTTCATCTAGGTGAGGAGGACATATGTCTTCTCTAAGAAGTCTTTCGGTAAATAGAATCCAACTCTCATCAAAACTTAGAAAAGACATATTATGATGAGGAAAATCAGGGCTTGCATAATCAGCCACATAACTGAGGCGAGTAGTTAATAGGATTCGACTTCTATTGTTCTCATTTGGGAATATTCTTTGTATTTGATCCAAAGCCTCAGTACTCCAAAGATCATCTATGACAATTAAAAATCTCCTACCAATCACACCTCTATACACAATCTCCGCTAGTTGATCATTGCTCATTTTTTGATTACTTTCATCAGTCTTATCCTGGCTAATAGAAGAGACAAGTTCAAGAAGAATTTGTCTCTCGTTATAAACTTGAGAGATAGTTACCCATGCATGTTTATCAAATCTATAACGGATTGTTGAATCATCATAAACTTTTCTAGCAAGAGTTGTCTTACCTATACCGCCCATACCAACAACTGGTATGACAGTTAGCTGATCTGTTTGGGCAGTGAGACGATCTAGTATGGTGTTGAAGTCATCTTTCATCCCAACAACAGTATGTTGCTCGGTCGCATACCTTTTTGATGAGGTAGAAGTACTTGCTTCTGCAGATTTGGTTCCATGCTTGATAAACTCGATCTCCATCAGTTCTTTCCTTAGAGAATCAACTTCTTTTTCCACTTTTTGCAATTCCTCATTGAAGGATTTACAAGCCCGTTCTCGTTTCTGTTGATCTACTAGAATGATTATTCTTCTAAGGGCTGAATCAACTCTCTCTTCTGCTTTGTAGACTATATCTCTGATCCGTTTTTCTATAGTCTTCAAAGTTTCAATATCTTTGATTTCCTTTGAAGTATACTCAAGAAAAACTTGAAGAGAAGAAAGACTTTGAAAAGCAGATTCAAGATGTTGTTGTATACAACTTCTATAAATTAAAAGTGATTTACACTGCAAGAGTTGCTCCAGTGTATGCATAAGTGAATAAGTAGCAGCATAAGCCATTTCTCTTCTCTGAGTGTAAATGTTTAATATAAATTTATGGTTCTTTTCACTCTTTTTTCTGTGATCACTTGGCTTTATTAGTCAAATATATGAAATCATGAGCAGTGGAGTGAAGACTTGTGGAAAAGACCCAAACACCAATTCAATTATTACTTCAATAATGTCCACATCAATTTCTTATTCAACGTTTATTATCGCTGTATACGGGTAAAACCGAGCCCACCGAGCACCCCGATTTCCCGGTGAGGCAAACGGAACAGGGAAGTGACCGTAAGGAATCGGAATCGGAGCCCCTCATATCGAAGCTCGAGCAAAACACCTGCCCTCGGAGGCATCGGGACCACGTCCTCCGGGTCCGGTTCGAGTCCCAAGACTTCGGAGAGCATTACCAAACAACAACACACGACTAACAAAGGGCCGTAATATCCGTGCCCAACCGGATATCATGGCGTGAATCTCAGCCCGTATCGGCAGAAAATCAGTGACTGACGAAAAGGAAGATTTTTACCTTTCTTAGGATTGTACTTAGGGTAAAACTTTTTTACTATATAAAAGGGAAGCTTATTATTCATTAGACACATCGTAACACGCATACCAAGAAAATTTACTTCTATTATGTCTGTTTCTAAAAGTTATTCAAAGTTCTTATTTTTGTTCATAACTTCTTCATAAGTGCAAGCTCGGAACTGAAGGCAGGTTCCTTGTTAAGCCATTAATCGAGATCGGGATCACTCTTATCATTGGTTTTGGCCATCGGGACACAATCGATGCCAACTCGCATGTGGCCATCGAAGCTAACTTTCCTACTGACCACGAGAACAGTGTTCGCGGAGGAGCCCGATCAATAGCCCGGGGTACGCACGACGGTGAAGGCAATGAGATCAATTTGCTGGTGATCTTTGAAATGTTACAAGCTCAATAGGCGGCGATAGCCTAACTACAGAACCAAAGCCGTGCCCCCAGCAGAGTTGAGCCCGAATCATCCCGGGAAAACACACGAAGAAATGAACCAACCATAGAAAGGCCGGGTGAAGTTGAACCCGGGACCGACCCCGAAATAATAAAGATGCTTGAGGAGCTGACAAAGCGGGTGGAATCGAGGGAAAAGAAGATCAAAGCCAACAACAGAAAAGTGGATACCTATAACTCCAAGGTTGATCAAATCCCAAGAGAACTCCCGATATTGAAAGGCCTGGATTCCAAGAAATTTGTCCAAAAGCCTTTACGTCCGAGCGCATCACCGAAACCAATCCCGAAGAAGTTTCGTATGCCCGAAATTCCAAAGTATAATGGAACCATGGATTCGAATGAACACGTGACCTCCTACACGTGTGCGCCATCAAGGGAAATGACTTAGAAGATGACAAAATCAAGTTGGTTCTGCTGAAAAAGTTCGGAGAAACCCTGTCGAAAGGAGCAATGATATAGTATCATAACCTACCCCCTAATTCTATTGATTTGTTTTCTATGCTTGCAGATGACTTCGTAAAAGATCATACCGGGGCCATCAAGGTCGAGACCAGAAAATCGGACCTCTTCAAAGTGAAACAAAAAGATAACGAAATGCTCAGGGAATTCGTGTCGAGGTTTCGAATGGACCCGCCTCATGTTGTGGACGATTTGGGCCGTTCAGGCGTTCACTCAAGGACTCAACTCCCAAAACTCCTTGGCTTCACAGCAACTAAAACAGA